GGAGCTGCTTCAAGGCCACAAAGTAGTGCGCCTGCCACGAAATTTGCACTTATCAAAATCCACAGGCTACTGCACCTGCCACAAAAGTCGCACTTCAAGGTCCACAAAGTACTGCACCTGCCACGATTTCTGAACACAAGCATGTCCAAAAGTCACGATTCACTGCAGCTGCGACGAAATCAGAGCATGCCGAAGACCACCGCCATGTCCAAAGTACTGCGCCTGCCAAAAAATCTGCACAACGACATGAAACTGCTCCGATCTCCTGCACCTGTCACGAACAGTCAACTTTAGACCACCAGAACACGAGGCTTCCCTTGCACCTGCCACAAAAGGTGATCACCAAGACCAAAAATGCGCACGGCACCGCAACAAGAGAGCACCTCCGTGAAGCACCGTCCCGCGGCCAGCGTTTCGCGCGACTCTGCGCAAAGAAATGGCATTTGGAGATCTCAGAACGAAACTTTTCTGCGAGCCTGCGCAGCCAAAACGCACGGGCTCAAAGAGCGTACCCTGATCGAACCCAGGCTTCTACACCTACCGTAAGAACCCCTCAGTGTGGACACACTGTTTGGGGAATAAAACAGGGGTTGAAAAGGTTCTAGGAAAGCAATGTGACCAACACGTGCTTGTTCTTGCGGCACCCCAAACCACAACTGACATTGAAGACCCCCATACATCAACATACATCCCACAGTCAGACAAAACGTCCAAGCCTTCTGGACATCTTGAATCAAATTGTTATTTCGCAGCAAATTGTCAGTTGACCCGTGCTGGTCCGTTCGAGTGTTGAAAGCCTTTTGGTCACAGGAGCTTCCCATTCGCTCCAACGGGCTGCCGGGCACGCTGATCATGTGGCGGTGGAGGCGCCTGTTTCCGCGCCTGGCTCTGCGACGACACTTGCCGTTGATGGCACAGTTGCCCCAGGGGAAACGGCGTGACCCCTTGGCCCTTGGCTGACAAGGTTGGAGGCCATGGCTAGTAGGTTGGAGGCCAATTAGAAACAATAAAAAAGAAAAGGAAGAAATTGGACATCGAGAACCTTGTGACCCTTGGCCCTTTTCCCAAGATGCATGCATGCAAAGAGATTCCAAGTGATTCTGAGATCCACAAGGAGCGTTTGGATTGTCATTCTGCACGGCAAAGAAAGACACTCTGACGGTCTAACTCGCGGAAATCGTTCAACAACTTCTTCACCATGTTGAAACTGCACGGAAGGCCATCAACATGCTTCAAGGGCTGTATGCTTTTGCGCATGCCAAACCCCCCCCCAAAACCGCGGGCTACACGGCTACATCATTCCGCTGCAGGAAGCGCGCCACATTGGCATTCGGGAGTCTTTCTCTTTGAAATCTCAATGAACTCTTTGATGGGGCTTTAACAACCTCCTCGTCCCATCCTTTGCCAAACACGGAGCAAACGGAGCTAAGCCCAAGATGGGGCTACTGTCCACCTAGGTTTTCTGTGACTTCCGGTGACTGGTCTGACTGGTCTCAGGTCACCGATTTCATTGGCCCACGTCTTCCCCAAAGCGCCTGAGCCCAGAACTGTCCGCAGGAGCAGAGGGACCGTGCGGCAACCGGTCGGGTCCCGCCGCGGGCAAGTTTGAGCTTCACGAGGTGCGAGTCGGGTCCAATGGGTTGATGCGAAGGTTTGGTGTCATTCCGTGGTTTTACGTTCAGGTCTCCGCATGAGAACTTGTTGGCTGGACCAATCTTTTGCGAAGGTCGAGACCGGGTTCTGTGTGATTCTTAGCTCTTTGACAAAGACAGTGGTCGCTGGACGTCCTGATCGGCCCCCCTTTCTATTGGCGTCCTTGTGGAGCGATAGATCTGATGTGCGATTGGTTCCAAGAAGTGATAAATGATGTATATAAATACAAAGATAGACATCGCCTATATAGTCATAGTCTGTGATATACAACTGATCGATACATACATAATGGAGAGAGGTGTGATATATATATATATATCATTATATATATATATATATGTGTGTGTGAATTATTTAGATATGTATGGCGTATATGATGTGTATGAGTGATTGTTGTATTATATACACAGCTACTATATATATCATTGGCCGAGCAAGGTCATCTTCGATATTCTTCCAGCCTTGGCCAGCTTGATGATCTTTGAACCGGACCGGCCACTTGCAGTGCATGACTGGAGCCAAGCGCATGCGGCATCGGACTCTTCATAGATTTAACGCACCATGAAAAACAGTGTCTAAAAAGCTGTAACAATTGAAAGGAGCCAAGAAGACGGGAATAAGTGAACCGTGAACAAGTCAGCATGAGACAGCCCACAAAGCTAGCTAGGCACGTCAAAGCAGAGACCTCAGGTCACAACTGCCCAAGTGATCATGAATGTTTCGTCGCAAAGGATGCGCCTCGTTCGGGCATCCTCGGCTTTGACACCCAGCCATTTCTGAAGTATCCTATGAATTCAGGTCCAACGTTGACGGAGAGCCAATTCCAAATGGCATGCCTGCCTACATTAACCCCTGAAACCACCCCAAGGTCGATAGGATAAATACACCATACCACAGGGAGCGTGACGTCTGGGATTGAACCCATTGGACGCTCCTCTTCCTTCGGACGCTCCTAGTCTCCAACGCCATCTCAGCAGTGTCCAATACGCCACTGTCACTGACAGCCAGAAATCCCCCAAGGATGCCCACGGTCTCACACGGTCTCACACGGTCGTGCCCATTTTCTGCACACGAATTTCGATGGAGCGAATGCCGCGCTGATCAACTGCTGTACAGACTGATGCAGTACTCCAAGCAAGAACCAGATTCGCCTCGCTTGTTTCCGATTTTCGCTGCAGCATAGGGCTCCTGAGAGCGATCCCCATTTCTCCTTCACCGAGACTATAATTCTCATGGGGGACGGCCCCACACATTTGCCATGATACATGATCTGCATACAACATCATGCGCCCAAACACCCGCTACTCGGGCCCGCAGTCGAGTGTCACTGCCCGGCCAGGTCGGGGACAGCTGCCTGCGCCGCCGTGATGGCCCTTGTGGGCCATGCGAAAAGGACGTGTGTCGTTGAGGACTTCCCTGCGCGATGGCGTAGACCTCGTGACGTCGAGGTGGCGCCATGAATGAAGTGGATAGGACTGGGAAAAGGCCAAGCATATCAGCATATCCAATTATAGCTCCTTAGAGGTTGAGGCATGTCCATTTACCACCCCTTAGGGGGGCCCTGCTATATGGATATCCAAAAAACGATCGGAAGATTGTGAAGTGTCATGATTCGTCATCGCTGGCGAAGGACTCAACCGTGGCATCTCCGGAAGGCGATTTAGGCCACTGTGCATCTTCTCTGACGTGTCCTGCTGCACAAACCTAAAAGAAGATGAATTTACAGCTGAAATCCGCGGAGCGCTGCCCATCTTGTACTCAGCGGAGCTTATTCATTCCTGGTGATCATGACATGTCAAATGGTATCCCCACATTACTTGAAGTTTTGGGGAAAATTGCAAACAACCTGCAACAGCCTACGGATGATCAACGTCCATAGGTCGCATGTCCCGGACAGCAGAATCAATCAAAACCAGGAAGCAATAAGGGTATTGGAATCCTCTACAGAACGATGCACACCAAAGTTTGTTCCTCTAACAAATGAAACAAATGGCTCACTTGGTCTCCCCTTTCGGACAGAAGGGCTCGGTGTGGCTCGGTGTTTGATGTTGTTTCTCTCCTGCACCTTCCACCGTGGAGGGGGATACAACCAAAGGAAAAAAGAATATGATGCAGGACCCAACCCGGGTTGCGACGCCTTCGGTCGGACGAAGGGCCACCGAGGGCCACGAGGGCCAGGCTTGCCGCTTGATTGAGGATGTTCGAAGGTAGGCCCGAAATGCGGAAAATGGCCAGGCTGACCACGTCGAATGGCCAGGCTGACATGTCGCACTAAGAGCTCAGCTGATTCACACTGTTGCGCATCATGTGTGTGTCCCACTGTGAAACTATAGACACAGCAGCATGCTTGGTTTACGTGCAGAGAAGAGAAGGAGGAGATGCAGTCTCGTACATTACATAGACATAAAGCAAGAGCTGCTCAGTGGCAGCCTGAACTTCTGGACAGCACCACTGAAAGACTCGCTGAGAATGCACAAACAACTGAGCTGAGTCACAAACAACTTTGACAAACAAAACAAGACGTGCCAACAGATTCTCCTCGCGCCATCGGTGCGGGCGCCTGTTGATGATCCACTTCCATGGAAGGCGGCGGAATCCGTTCCCTTGCCTACAGCGGCTACCACGGGCTACAGCGGCGACACCGACGCAGTCGGCAGTGGCTGGTTGAGCTGAAAAAAAGAGCTGGAGGACTTTCACTTGTGCTGTGGCAGAAGGCACGTGCAACTTGAATTCATAGGGTTCACTCAGCTTAGCTCAGCTTACTCTTGTCATCTCTTGCCCTGTGGTCCTGACTCAACCTGTTTACTCCTGCATTCTGTTAACTGTGAAAGTAGTAGTCCACCAAGGTGAGCCACCGAGGATACACGGAGCTTGAGCTTGATTTGCAGATGGACGTGGAAAACCCTATGCCTATGGTGAAACCAGAAACATCAGCAAGTACGGCCTGTCAGCTTTCCAATTGGTTGAAGAACAACCTTCCAAGGGTTCATCTAAATTTATTAGAAACTTCTACTCAACTTGCTGCTGACGAGCCGTTCATTTCCCAGCCTCAAAAATCAAAGCCCCGAGACAGGCACAGCATGGCACCTCGGGCTGGTTGGGCTGCAACGCTGCTGAGCTTGGTATACAGCGGCTTCAACAATCTCAAAGTATGGGAGACTTCTTGAGACTTCTCAAGATTCTCAGTAATTTGCGAGAATGTATATTTACACAAAATTATACGTAATTCTTCATCTAGGACCATCATACCATGCGCACCACACCACAACAGCTCGAGGTCCTCCTCCTCCTCCTCCTCCTCGCAGTCTGCGTATCCCAGTGCGCGTCGGGACCCGGTGTGGCGGCCTTCACGCCAAGTCATCCCACCTCGGCGAGCGGGTGATGGTGATAAGAGAACCTAGCTACCGGATGTGGATGTGGGAAGAATGGATACAAAATCGTACCCAGTGGCATGAAGAATGAACACTTTATGTGATGGTCCACCAAAGCCCCAAACCCTGCCAACAGTGAGAACAACCCCAACACCCCTCCCTTAAGCTTGGAAGGCTGAACACCACGTCCCTGCCGTCCCAGATGACACTTCTCCCAGCTGCCGGCATTCAGAAGAAGAACGCCGGAAAAACCGGCGGGGACGGGACTCCCATCTGCCTTCTCCCATCCCGCTTCTCCCCGCGGTGAGTCGTTTTCGGCCTTCCGGTGGCGATGGACTTGCGTAAGGCGTCCAAGTCCGTCTCGACGGCCTGCGACGGCAGGTGGCGAAGAGCCGTGGCCAACGACGCAGCTGGAACTGACTTCGCCGATCCTCAAAGCAGATACAGAAGCCAAAGAAGGTGATACAGTGGTGCGAAGCTGAAGGTCTCACTCCGCAGTTTGGGAATGCCCAGAAAAGGGCATGAACTGTAGCCTATACTGACAAACGAGGAACCTTAGACTCTAAACAATCGCAACTAGGAAAAAGTTTTTCTCAGCCAGAAAAAATGACATGGACACCTGGATACCCTCCAATAACAAAGTGTACCAAGGAATGAAACTGTTAAAGTTCTGGGGAGAGTAATGGTCTTTACCGTGTTTTTACAGTAATAGCCTTGAAACTAGGCTAGGGTAAGGGCAAAATGCATCTCTCAAGAGACAAGTTCAGAAGGTTTATCAAGTTTCATGGTTAAATCCAGGGTTCCTGAAATCAGGTGTTCCCCTGAACCCATAAGGACGAAGTGAGTGATGGAGTGATGTTCACCAATTTCTTCACAAGTCTCAGCCCAACAGAGCCAACCCGCACTTGGCGTGGCCCAGATGAAGCACTTCGCTTTTTGGAGCTATAGACTGTAGGTATGTTGGTTGGTAAGAACTTCTGCCAGACTTCTGCCCTGCATGCTTTGGTTTGAAAGAAACATCTAGTCCTATTTCAAGAAAATGTAAGGTTGGCATATCCCCTTCCTTCACATAGGCCGTTCTTCTGTTTCATCATGATACAGGATACACGACATCCTCGACCTTGAGCCTCCTAGAATGGTATTCTGACCTATTCTGACCCTTGCCATCCGAACACCCCAAAAAAAAGAACCACTCACCCATGTTCGGAATGGAAAACCATCACCGACCCAAGCCCCACCCCCGTCCCCGGAGTTTCCCCGCCTGCCGGATCGTCGCGGTGCGAATCTCCCTCAAACCTCGGGATCCGTCAGATCCGTCGGCATGGTCGTCGGGGAGAAGCTGAATGGCGGTGGATCGTCCTCGGACTTCACTGGGCCGGTGGCCATCTCTGGCCATTGGGAGGATCTAGATAGGCCCTTGATCTGCCTGGACACAGAGAGGTCCTCTGAACTTTTGAGGAGGTGCACTGGATCCAATTGTGCACACCCTTTCTGCACTCCTTCCCCATCAAAAGTTTGGCGTGTTTCAGAAACCACACGTCCCGGATTCATTGAATCCAGCCATTTTCGTCAGCACCGAGAGGCTGTACTCCACTTCCCAGGACTTCGTGTCCTGCCGCACCAGGCTCGAAACGAAAAAACAAGACGTGGCTGGCGTGGCTCGTGTGGCTGGGCCCCAGGAGCTCTCTTCTACGAGGTGCTGGCACACATGGAGGGTGTCGATATATGCGGTAGCAATGTCCACTCACCTGTGCTCCAGACTTGTCACCTCAAGCATCACCGGAAGAATTCTCACTCCGAAGAGGTGGTGACGATGGCTCTCCATGAGGAAAAGCCATCGTGGTCAACCAAACATCGTGATGGTATCCAACTGCTCAAGGTGTCAATGAAGAGTTGATTCGATTGCAACTCGATCATTCTGGGACATTGGGCCCACCTCTGTCGGCCCATGTCCATCAAGGATGGGACATTCTTCAAACTATAAACCCCTTTCAAAGCTCTCCTTAGTGACGGAAACATGATTGAGAGTCATATGTCAAACTCCGGACGAAGTTTTTCATCACAGAGCAGAACAAAACCAGGGCATCTTCCGCGAAACAGACCTTGTTCTCCATTCATGGGTACGTGTATTTTAATAGGGAAACACCCAAAGAACAGGTTTGGGTCCATTCTCCTTGTTCCAGGCGGTCGTTGGGAGGCCTCCCTATTATAATACACACCCATATTTGTTCTTTAGAGGACAATTCTGAACTCCACAATTCTTCGCGACTGGGGGTCCTCCGAAGCAATGAGGTCTGGAGAGAGCAAGCGCACGCAGAAGGGCGTTCGCTTGGACTGCGCAGGAAACGAGGGCAGAGGCGGCGGGCGACACTCCGATTGGGCGCCGGCAGCGAAATGCGCCACACGGCACGCGGCGTCGGGTGCCGTACGCAGGGACTAGAGTGAGGTGTGTTGCCAACACTCAATGGAGCCGTACGTGAATCGAGCCAACAAGGGGGAATAACTACTGGCATGCATAGCCTACCAACTGTCATTGCTGTTGGAACCTGTTGGAACCCACAAGACAAGACCTGACCTGCTCCTTGTTGCAGATGGGTTAGGGCTCTCCGAATCCCCGGTAGCTAAACACTTATAGTCGTGCAGAATGGTTGGCAAGAAGAGTCGAGATTTTCCTAAGTGTTAACTCTTAAGTCATCGTTCTTTCATGATCCATCCTCTCCAACTTTTGCCGAATCCAGGTGCCTTCTCTTAACAAACAAAAGCGGTTCAACAACAGCTCCTTGATGTCCAGCCTTTCAAGACCCGGAAGGCTTTCACTTAAGCCTTCCCCCTCCAATTCAGTGCTGCTTTAAAGAAACAAATAGAAACCCAGATGTCCCCCAACCACCCCCCAACCCCGTCCCCCGAACCCCCCAACCACCTCGCGCGCCGCATGACACCGGTCTTCCCCCCGAACGGTCTTCCTCCGGCCGGTCGCCGAAGATCTGCTTCGGCTGCTCGGCCACGAAGCCGTAGGTCGCCGCCCGGGCCTCGACACGGGTGACGCCGGTGGACGGAAGCGAAGCGAAACGGAAGGGACCGGGTAGGACCCGGTAGGAAGCCACTGGGAGAGCAAGAAATCAGGGAAAGTGCACTAGTGCACTGGTCAGTTCAACCAGAAGGAAGCAATGAACTAAAGAAAGATGGTTTGAGGTTCACAGATGTGTTGGTGATGTGGGACAACACAAGGAAACCTCTCGAACCACGACGCTCTCTCAGACATCGGGCAACAATAATGCCAAGGATGGTACCATGCTAGTGACCACTGACCCACCCTTAAAACCTATGTCACATGTCATATCATCCTCTGTGAGCAAGGTGGTGTCTTAATGTGTCTTAAACTTCAATGGCTAAATTGATTTTGGCTTGGACAACATAAGCACCCGATTCACCCCATGAGCAAAACACCTGAGCAAGAAATCCTGATGTGGCGAACTTCTTTTAGTGGCCGAGCATGTCGCCAGAGCATTATCCGCCTGCTCAATTCTTAGCACTGCCTGGCGGTACTACTAGGAGCAAGGACGCTACTAGGGCTCCAGTCACCTCTGGAGTTGCTCGGGACTCTCCCAGCAGGTAATCTGGGGCCTTCTGATGAGTCCAGAATGTTACCGTAACCTCAGAGCTCAAGCCCTCAAAACAGCAGCCCCACCTGCCACAAGAATTGGCCCTCAAGCAGAACTCTCTTTAAGCCTTTAAGTCACACATCTGGAAGTTTCGGCAAGGACTCGTCCAGGCAGTGCACTGAATGAAACTATGATACACACTGCAGCCTGCCTGCCTAGGCAGTGCTGTGCTTTCAGAAACTCCACGGCAAAGCTGAGAGGGTGGATGCAGGAACCACCAGTTTCAGTGCGCAAACATCCAAAACACAAAGACTCGAAGCAGTGACAGAAAATGCTAAGTCAGTAAACAATTAGGGAATAGTTCTGGGCATAGCATGAGGATGTCCAGGTTCTTTCAAATTTGTCGTTGTGTTGTGCTGATGACAAGGCCCATCGATCAGCAATGCCAGGAGGTCTTGAAGACCCGAACACGCCGGACGTGAAAACTTGGTGCGTTTTGATGCGCGTTTTGCTGATGACCTGGAGAGAGGAGTGCCATCTCTTCTTCATGATTCTTCCCCCCCGTCATTGAGTCCGCACGAACACGATCACGTCTTCACGGAGGACCATGGCATGGGCCCCGAAGGAGGACCATTTTCTATCCGAAGACCAAGCAGGTGGTTCTCCGAACCCATGGGGTGCTGCTACTCGGAGGGTTGCAACGAATGATGAACACCATCGCCATGGCTTCATGTTAGAGGGAGGTAACATGAGGTAAAAATCCCAGGAGCCAATGCAAGAAACCATGTGTCCGACTGTTTTAGTGTACTTAAATGGTCTTAGAAGTGTCCAAAAAGCTCAAAACGTCGACTGACCTATTTAACGATCAGTTGGAGTGGTTGAAACGGAGTGTGTGTATTGCATAATGTTTAACTGCAATATGTCATATTATATATAGATACCAATCCCACGAAGTGTCTGGGAAAGCTCAAAGAAGCTTCTCTAAGGTGTCTCCAATGGCCAAGTGACTGACTCATCACTTGGAGAACCCGCTTGCAGACTGGAGGTGTTTCTGCTAACAGGGTAGAGTTGGATCCTGGAAGAAAAACAGAACATCCTCATGTTCTGCTTTTACAACTTGAAAATGCTGAGTGTTTACAACTTGAAATCTATTTACTCACAAGAACTGAGATCCCAAGCCACACTCAACCACTTCATTCATCTTGCAGTGTTCACGCTGCAGCGTTCGATTCATTGGCCAATTGCAGCGAACTCGATTCGGGTCGAAGCCCCTGACCCGTCTGGAGCCGCTTCTCGGCTCAGCGGAATGAACCGGTGACTTTGACCAATTCAGACCATTTGTGGAGGCGATCTGACAGATCTCTCGGGGAATGAGTGTCATTATGCTTGCTATCTAAGAGTAATCATAACTTCTTGATCATTCAACAAATCATTTCGGTCTCCTACGCAATCCAGGAGTTTCAGAGATCCCCTCATTTGCTTAGAGCAGAAGCTTCACGCCATGGCAGGCAGTCGGGTCGCCTGCGGATCCACGATGACTTCGAAGTGATGATTGACTTACCAGCACAACTATATATATAAAGTGTGAACGGAAAGCTATGAACCACTACGAACTACAACTACAACTACAACTGCTACTACTACTCCTACTACTACTACTACTACTACTACTACTACTACTACTACTACTACT